CACCCAGCATTGCCCGTTTGTGCCCAGGTATCCGCCGCGAGAGCCCAAGGGTGGGTCTGTTGCGATGTAGGGAGGAGCCACCCCGCTTACTGGGAAACCGCTTCCAGGAGAGGTTCTTTCTGCTGCGTGGTCGCTGCTTGCTGCTGCTCAAGGAAAAGAAGGTGAGGGAGGCTGGCAGCCCTGTGGGAGGAGCTGTGACTACATCAAGCCTCTCACTCCACAAATCATGTGCTTATCAATCTCATTGCTGCCCTGGTCCTTTGACCTCTGTGACCCTGTGATTGCATAACCCCAGTGTTTCCATGACTTCTTGACCCAAATGACTGTGATCCTGCTCTCACCTTTTGACCTCACTGACTGCCCTCTTGTTCTCAGAGCTCTAAACCAGAACGAGAGTGGCCTTTGGAAGGTTCCAAGGTCTACCTGGGCATCCGAAAGAAGTTAAAGCCTCCAACACCGTGAGTGTCCTTCCCCAGCCCACATTTCTAGGGCCTTCCTGCCATCACCTTTCTGGCCTTTCTAATCACCCTTCTCTGTTCTCCTTTGCCTCCTAGGTGGGGCTTCACATTGATACTGGAGAAGATGCACCTGTGAGTACCTCCCAGCCTGGCTCTTCTCTAGCCTAGCCCTGCACCCTGTCCAACCCCTCCCTATCCTCCATCCCTAGAGCTACAATCCCTCCTCTCCAGCTCATTTCCCTCTGATCACCCCCAGCTACCTGTCCTGCAGTGATGAGGATGAGATGTGGGATTGGACCACCAGCATCCTCAAAGCCCAGGTGAGGGGAAGGAGAAAGCTGAGGGCTAGGTCGGAGGTCCCAGCTCTAGTCTTCAGTACCACCCATACCCATTGTGCCAATTCTTCAATTCCCTCCAGCACGATGACCAGCAGCCAGTGGTCTTACGACGCCATTCCTCCTCTGACCTCGCCCGTCAGAAGTTTGGCACTATGCCTTTGCTGCCCATCAGAGGGGATGACAGTGGGGCCACCCTCCTCTCTGCAAATCAGACCTTGGTGAGGTCCCCCAGCCTGCTCCAGTGCCCTCCTGATCCCTGCCTGTGTCCTTGCCACACTGCAGGAGGGGAGTGGTGTGCCTGTCATCCTAGTGCCCCCCCTCTGCCTTCTTTGTGTCCCCACTCCCCACCCTTGCCTCCTGTTGCCAGGCCTCACTGTGTCTCTGTGTCTCTCCCTCTCCTCACCCCCATCCCACCTGTGCCCAGCGGCGACTTCACAACCGGAGGACCCTGTCCATGTTCTTTGTGAGTACTGTGCCTGTCTCAGCTGTGTGCCCATCAGCTGTGTGTTCCTCTGTGCTGCCTGAACCAGTGTACCCTCTCTATTTGTTCTGATGCAGGCCATCAGTGTGTGTGTGTGTGTGTGTGTGTGTGTGTGTGTGTGTATGAGAGAGAGAGAGAGACAGACAGGCAAACAGACAGAGAGACAGAGAAGGAGACGGACAGTGTATAGTGAGGGACCAGAAGGAATCAGAAAAATAAAGGACGGTAGGATGTGACAAGGAAAAGGGAAGTGGTCATAAGATCTGAGAAAGAGAAGCAAAGTGGTTAAGTGAATGCATTTTGGAGTTAGACCTGGGCTGAAGCCCTAGTTCTTCCATTTACTCACTGTGTGATCTTGGGCAACTTACTTAATCCCTCTGTGCCTCAGTTCACTCACCTGCAGTGTAACCCATTGTACAGAGTTATTTTGGTATCATACATGCAAAGTATTTTGGAGCATCTGGCCCAGAAGAAGAGCTCAATAAATGTTAGTGATTAATAATGTAGTAACTCTAACTCCGTGCCTGCTTCATGCCACCTCATTCCCATCCAGCCAATGAAGTCAACCCAGGGGTCTGTGGAGGAGCAAGAGGAACTGGAGGAGCCTGTCTATGAGGAGCCAGTGTATGAGGAAGTGGGAGCCTTCCCTGAACTGACCAAGGACACCTCTACCTCCTTCTCCACCATGAGAGATCAGACAGCCAACCCTGAGACGCCCCTCACCAGCCAGAGGTCCTTTGATCAACCCTTTTTCCCCAAGGCAGGTGCCCCAGGCCCAGAGGAAAGGCCACCAGAGCTCCCTCCAGGCCCCCCTTCAAAGAGCAGCTCCCAGGCACGTGGGTCCCTGGAGGAACAGCTGCTCCAAGAGCTTAACAGCCTCATCCTGAGGAAGGGAGAAATCACCATAGGCCTAGGCAGCCCCTCCCAGCCCTCCAGCCCTCAGTCCCCGAGCCCCAATGGCCTTGTGACACAGACACCTGGCTTCCCCACCCAACCTTCCTCTTCTAGTTCACCCTCCAGCCAGCCCCTCACATGACCCTAAGACCAGAAGTCTGAAGGGGTAGGTAACCAGAAGACCCAAGTTCTCACCATGGCAGACACTGCTGGGAGCCTCCTCTGCTCTGGATGGAAAGACTCTAAAATCCAGTGCGGTGCTATGGAAAGACCACAGGACTCAGGGCTCTGGACTCTCCTGCCCAGAGAGGGTCAGAATGTGGCCCTCACTGAACCTCCACTCATTATATGTACCATGATGTCACTGAAATAAGGAGAACAGTGAACATCAAACTGTTTCTTAGAGCAGTAAGCCCCACATATTTTTCCTCATCAAGGACAACTCCTTATATATTTGATATGTAGGTGTCCTGTGAGACATTTTAGGTTTGAAAAGAATGGTTTTACTGCATTAAATAAAAAAAAGGATTTGGAAGCCAGAGAGCTGAATGATTTCCAAGTCTATCCTACCCCACCTCCTACATTTGGGAACTACATTGAAGACCTAGAGTCGGGAGATTGATTGGGGTTGAGAGTTGGGGTAAAGAGGAGCCAACAAAGATGTGTCATTGTTAATAAACCTTGGAACCAAAGGCTACTGTTGCTTCATTCATTCATTCATTCATTCATTCAGCAAATATGTACTGAGCACCTAATTGGGTGTTAGGTATTCAGTGTGAACAGAACAGATGGGTACTGCTTTTATGGAGCTTCCAGTGTAGAGGAATAGAAAACATTAAATACACAAACTAATTCAGTGATGTGAAGAAATTAAACCTAAAGTGATGTGTTTGTGGAGATGGCCCTTAGGCTGGGAGGATGGGGAAGGCCTCTGTAATGAGCTGAAACTTAAAGAAGCCAGATAGGGGTGCCTGACTGGCTCAGTCAGTAGAGTACTTCAGATTAATCTCAGGGTTGTGAGTTCAAACCCATGCTGGGCATAGAGTGTACTTAACAAAACAAACTAACAAACAAAAAAAACTAATGGGACTTGATTTGGTGGCACCTGGCTGGCTCAGTCAAAAAAGCATGCAACTCTTGATCTCAGGGTCATGAGTGTGAGCCCCATGTTGGGTGTAGAGATTGCTTAAGTAATTAAAAAACTTAAAAAATAAAGAGATGCCTGGGTGGCTCAGTTGGTTAAGTGTCCAACTCTTGATTTTGGCTCAGGTCACAATCTCACAGTTGGTGAGTTCAAGCCCCACATAGGGCTCTGCTCTGACTGCACAGAGTCTGGGATTATTTTCTCTCCCTCTTTCTCCGCCCCTCCCCTGTTCTCTCTCTCTCTCAAAATAAATTAAAAAACTTAAAAAAAATGTTTTTAATAAATAAAAAATAAAGAAGCCAGACATGTGGAGTACTGGAAGAAGGAGCACTCCAGAAGGAGAGGGAAAGCAGCAGGCATGAAGGCTTTGCAATGGGAAGACTTGGCCTGCTGGGGAAACAGCAAGGAGGCTGGAGTTGCTGAAGCACAGTGAGTGGGGAGCCAGAGAAGTGTATGGGCCGAAAGGGGAAAGATTGGCAGGGGCCCAATAATGCACAGCCTTGCAGGCCATGCTAGGGTGTTTGGATTTTATTCTAAAGCAACTGAGAAGTTTTAAGGAAGAGAGTGATATGATCTCATTTTCTTTTTTTAAAAAAGATAAATCACTGGCTATTTTGTGAACAATGGGTTATGGAGGGAGTTGGGGGTGAGGAGAGAGTGAAAGACCAGATATTAGACAGAAAACTGATTATGGGGCTTGGACTAGGTTGGTGGTTTTGGGAATTGAAGGAAGGTGATCAATAAGAGATCTTTTAGAAATAGAACCTATAGAACTTGCTAACGGATGGAATGTGGGGGTATGAGAAAAGGGCAGACTGACTCTGGGTTTCAGACTCTCCTAACTGGATGGAAAGAGGTGCCCTTTGGTATTTTATCTGGGGAAGATAACTTGGGAAGGGTCAGGGAGAAGAAGTAGTTTTAAAGGTTTGAGGTATCTATTAGATATACAAGTGCTGGTGTCAGTGGTCTGTTGGAAATGTGAATTTGGCCACAGGACTGCAGTGCAGAACCTGAAAAGTAGGCCCTAACGGTGAGAGGGGCCTTCTGGGACGCAAGGCCCCACACCCATCTCCCCGCTTATATCCACTCACAAGTACCATTTAGCTTCCATTGGCCCCAGACACACCTGTTTTCCTCTGGGACTGGTTTCTTCCTGGCTCCAGGCAATTTTCTCACCACTCATGCTGGCTTTTCCAGTTCTCTGGGAATTTGGGAAGGGTCTGAGAACAGTCCTGTTTCCCTTGTCAAAATCATCTTTGCTCAGGCATCCAGTGACTCAGTTTCCCTGGTCACAAACTGAGTTCCTCCTTGCCACACGTCACCCTTCGCGCCATCACCGGAGATCTGCATATGTAAATGAATGATTAGAAATAATTAAGAGCTGAGTCAGTGGCTCTACTAGAAACAGAACCCAGGCGTCTTGACTCAGAAACTTAGAGTTTCCCTACCGCGCAGCAGACGCGGCGTCCACTCGGCGGCTCTGACCCTTTCCGGAGTTTTAGGAGTAGTAACAGAAGTTGATCCGGTTTCTTCTCGGCACCTTCGCGCTTCGCAGCCCTGCGCGAAGTCGGACGAGGCGTGGGCGGGACGGGGGCGGAGCTGAGCCAGGTCCGGGGCGGGGCTTTGGCGTGGGCGGGGCTTCCTCGAGTTCCGGAGTCGAGTCGCTCGCCTTGGCCGGATCGGAGATGCAGCCGCCGCCCCGAAAAGTGAGCTTGGCCTGGGAATGGGGACTCCTGGTGGGCTGGCGGAATGGTGGGAGTTAAGGGGCTCCGGAACCGCAGTGGGGGACAAGGAGTTGTAAGGGTTCAGGGCCTAACCCAGAAGTAACCCAGGAAACAGCCCAGCCCCTCCCCGGTCCCGCCCCCTCACCGCTCCCTGCGCGGAGTGTTTTTTCCAGGTCTCAGGCGCTGGGGGTCTTCATCCTCTTCTTACCCTCACAGGTGAAGCCGGCTCAGGAGGTGAAGCTTCGCTTCCTGGAGCAGCTGAGCATCCTTCAGACCCGGCAGCAGAGGGAGGCAGATTTACTGGAGGACATCAGGTAGCTTCTGATCCCCTCCACGTACTCCCCCCACCTTCGCCGTTGCGCGCCCCGCCTCTCCTCAAACCTACATCCGTCGGATCTGGGCCGGGGAGGGGAGGCAGAGGGTGAAGAGTTCTCCACCCTGCCCATTACTGGCCCTCACTTTCGGCCTCCCTCTCCAGATACCAGATAGGACTTATCCTTCTTCCCACCCCAACACACAGAAACACGCACGTACCCTCCCTGAAACCCCTTGACCCCATACCACTCCCTCCACCACACAATCAAGCTTAGAGCAGAATCTTACCTCCCTCTTCCAAACCTGTTGGAAGGCTGGAGGACAATGTATTCAGGCCCCCGTCAGTCCTCACGTCTGAGTCCACTGATGGTTCTCCGGGGGGGGGGGGGGGGGGGGGGGGGGGGGGGGGGAGGATCCTGCTGAGGCTCTGAGCAATGAGGTGAGGTTGTTCTGGGTTGCAGCTGCCTGAGGTGATCTCAAGGACTCTCAAGTCTCATTTGCTCCTGGTATACTCACACTCTAGGCCTGGCTCCCCTCTTCCTCCTGCCCAGGCTGAGGAGAGGATTGAGGGTGGGAGAACAGGACTAAACTGTAACACCACCCTGCTCCATTTATCTCCACAGGTCCTACAGCAAGCAGAGGGCAGCCATTGAACGGGAGTATGGGCAGGTATGGAACTCCTTTCTCTGGACTTTGTCTTTTGTTCTAGCCTCCTTTAAACCACCAGCATTGTCTCTCCACACATTCTTCTGTTCTGGTCAAGAGCAAAGGCCTAAACAGAGGGGTGTCAAATCTTTCTTGTGCTACTTGTTGGCTGTGTGACCTTGGACAAAGTACTTAGCCTTTCTTGGCCTTGACATCTTTCTCTGTACAATGGAAATAATAATTGTACCTTCACGTGGGGTTGTTGTAAGGATGGGATAGGTTAATGCATGTAAAGCACTTAGCAAAGTAAGTAGCACATAATATGCATCTGATGAATGGCGTTAGTATACTCTGATCCCATATTTTCCCAGTTGGTGAGAATCTTTGAGAGGTAACTGGGTCTATGATGACTTTCCCACCAGGCACTTCAGAAACTGGCTGGGCCATTCCTGAAGAGGGAAGGGCACCGGAGTGGGGAGATGGACAGCAGGTGGGTCCCATGGAAGTAGGGAGGTCAGGAGACCTAGAAGAGATGAGGAGCTCAGTCTGAGGAATCTATGGGAATAAAGAGTCAGTGAGGGGGGAGGGCACGTGAGCTGTAGGTAGAGCTGACACAGCAGCCAGAGAGGAGCTGACCCAGCAAGGACACTGTGGGTGCGGGCAGAGGGCATGAGTGATCCTTGTGGCTGAGCTAATGGGCTGATCGATTGATAGGCTCCCAGTCAAGGGGGATGGGAAAGCACTCTGTCTCTTATGGTGTTGGGGTTGGGGGGGTCTCATGAAGCTTTGGAGTGCTCTCCTCCTCAACACAGACCTTCTATGGGGAGAGGCAGGATGGTGTTTGGTGCCTGGCGCTGCCTGCTGGATGCCACCGTGGCTGGGGGCCAAGCCCGGCTCCAGGCATCTGACCGATACCGTGACCTGGCAGGGGGCACAGGGCGGAGTGCCAAGGAGCAGGTGCTTAGGAAGGTATGTCTATGTGGATGGGATGAAGGAAGGGCTGGCTCAGGGCTGGGGTGATCCAGGTCAGGACTCTGTGTGTCCATGCCCCTAGGGAGCAGAGAACCTGCAGAGGGCACAAGCTGAGGTGCTGCAGTCTGTCCGGGAGCTGAGCCGAAGTCGGAAGCTGTATGGGCAGCGGGAACGTGTGTGGGCCTTGGCACAGGAGAAGGCGGCTGATGTCCAGGCTAGGTGGGGTCGTGTGGAGTTGGGAAGCCTGGCAGGAGGAGGGGATCCAAGGCATGACAGCCAGGCCTAAACTCGACTCCTCTTCCTTGCCTGCACAGACTGAACCGAAGTGACCATGGGCTCTTCCACACTCGAACCAGTCTCCAGAAACTCAGCACCAAGGTTTGGGGGATGTGGATATGAGGGAGGGCAGGAAGGAGGTGGGCAGAGTAGTCTCGTGGTTTGGAAACCAAGGGCATAAATCTGAGAGACTGGGATGAATCCAGGCTTCCCTACACCTTCAGTCCTTGACCTTGGTTAACCTGATCTCTCTGAATCTCATTTTTTTCATCTGTAACACGGAAATAGTGCATTTCTGTTTATTCCTTTACTGTGCATTTATTGAGGATTCTATGGAGTTCCTGCCTTCAGAGTCTGGTGAATGCCAGACAGATAGTAAATAAACAAATAATCAGACTAAGTGAAAACAAAACAAGGTGCTATGATAAAGGGTAACAGGGTGTAATTTAGAGAGAAAGCTTCTCTGAATACATGGCCTGTCAAGAAGGAGCCAGCCATGCAAAGATCTAGGGGTGGAACATTCCAGGGAGAGGAAATGGTGAGTTCAGGGGCTTTGAGATGGCAATTGCTTTGTGGGCTTGAGGAACCAAAAGAAGACTAGTGTGGCTGGAGTACTGTGAGCAAGGGGACAAGTACTGTGCAAACAGGTCAGAGAGGTCGCAGGACCAGCTCACGTGAAACCTGGTAAACCACAGTAAGGAGCAGTTGGGATTTTATTTTAAATGAACCCAGACACCACCAGTGCATCTCGAGCACGAGTTGTGAGTGTACAAAAGTTTTAGTGTAGCACCAGGTGTATAGTAAGCACTCAATGTGAGAATCCATTCTGGATATGGATTGGCCTTGGAAGGACCCCAAGGGTCTAGCGGTCCCTGTTGACATGTATTTTCTCTTCCCAGTTGTCTGCCCAATCAGCCCAGTACTCCCAGCAGCTGAGAGCAGCCCGCAATGAGTACCTGCTTAACCTGGTGGCCACCAATGCCCACCTTGACCACTACTACCAGGAGGAATTGCCAGCCCTGCTCAAGGCCAGTCCCAGCCCAGATACCCCTGCCTCTCAGCAGAGGGTGGCAGTGTGTGGGAGGGCCTGTCCTTTCTTCCCACCACCACCAGACTAGGTGGTGCTAGGGACCTAGCCTGCTTTGAGTGGGTAGAAGATAGATCATCTGGTTCTGGTTCTAGTTCTAGCTGACTGCATGACATTGTGCAGAACACTTAACCCCTCTGAACCCCTCATCAGGGATAACTTCTGCTCTGCCTACTTTATAGACTAATGGGGCTCAGAGGAGAGAATAGATATGAAAATGCTTTTTAAACTGTTAAGGTCTATGCATACGTGAGGGCCTATTCTTAGAAGCAGTAATAATGTCTCATTCCTTCCCTCTTTCCAATTCCTCATGCCCATACCAATCTAAACCTGGGCAGAGAGCCTACTTTGCAGTAGATGCTGGGGGAAGGGTAGTGTCATTATCTCAGGGTTCTCTCTAGGCTCTGGTCAGCGAGCTCTTGGAACACTTGAGGGACCCCCTGACCTTGCTAAGCCGCACTGAGCTGGAAGCTGCAGAGATGGCCCTGGAGCATGCCCGCCATGGAGCACAGGCAACCTCCCAGGTGAGGGCTGTGCCCTGTAAGACCTCCCCAGAGATCCTCTTTACCCTGCTCTTTCAGTACAGACCACCCACTGCATTATCTGCCTTCTTTCTTCCAAGAGGGGCTGGGGACAGGCTTAGAGAGGTAACCAGTGAGTGCCTACGTTGACCTTTTACAACCCCCCAGGTAAGCTGGGAGCAAGATTTGAAGCTTTTTCTTCAGGAGCCTGGAGTATTTTCCCCCACACCACCTCAGGAGTTTCAGCCTGCAGGGACTGATCAGGTGAGACCACTGTTCATTGGAACCAAACCACATGTAAAGGGGACTGTGGTTTAGGCCTCCTCCCTCATCATCCTTGTCCTGATAATGACTTGGTGACTGTTATGTGGCTTCAGAACTCTAGTTCACCTCCTTCCCACCAGGACACAAATAAACATATTTTATTCCACCTTTCCGGTCCTTGACTGCACTATCCTCATCGTTCTATCTCTATCCCTCAACCCAGATCCCATTTTGGGGACTCTCTGTGTCTCTGTGTCCACAGGAAGGCACACCTGTGTCTATATACATAGGTGTGTGCCCTCACCTCTTTGTCCCTGGAGGTCAGGACAGAAAGAAGAAAAAAGGAGGAGACTGTAGTGAAGGAGCAATATCAGGTCCTCCTCACAGCACCTGTGTTCAATGTTCATGCAGGTGTGTGCCTTGGAGCTGGAGGGGGACGCAGGAGGCATGGCTGGGGACAGTAGCCTGGAGAAAGAGGTTCAGCGCTGGACGAGCCGAGCCGCCCGAGACTACAAGATCCAGAACCATGGGCATCGGGTGAGGTGGGGGGTGGGGGGTGCAGGTATCATGGGTGGGCAGGAAGAGCTGAGAGATGGGAACCCTGGAATCAATGGGAATGTCATAGGGCTGCAGGCAGGAAGGAGGGGAGGGAAAGGTATATTAAGCCAACAGTGTGGCACAGTAGTTAAGAGCACTGGTTTTGGAGTTAGACCCACCTGGGTTCAAATCCTGCTCTCTTGTTTCCTAGTTATGTAACCCAGAGTGAGGGAGTGATTTAACCAACCTCACTGGACCTCAGTTTCCTTATTATTAGAGTGGGGTTAATAATAATAGCCACCTCATAGGGAAAATTAAATGACATAATACATGTGAAGCAAGTAGCAAAGTGCCATGTCCATAGTAAGTTGTCTCCTGTAGTATTTCTACCCACCCCTGTCCTCTGCCTTCCCAACCAGGTGCTGCAGCGGCTGGAGCAGAGGCGACAGCAGGCTCCAGAGCGGGAGGCTCCAGGCATAGAACAGCGGCTGCAGGAAGTGAGGGAGAGCATTCGGCGGGCACAGGTGAGATGTAGCCCTGTGGCTAGGGCCACTGAGATCCCACCCCCTTACACAACACTCTCCTCCACTCTCTCTGGATGGTGGGGAGTGGGTGGCAGGAGGTAGAAGGTGGACAAACTTGGAGAGGCTCCACCCACCTCCCAAAGGCAGGCCCAGCCACAGCCTTGATTGATCTCTCTTCCTAATGCCAGGTGAGCCAGGTGAAGGGGGCTGCTCGGCTGGCCCTGCTACAAGGAGCTGGCCTAGATGTGCAGCGCTGGCTGAAACCAGCCATGACCCAGGCCCAGGATGAGGTGGAGCAGGAGCGACGGCTCAGTGAGGCCCGACTGTCCCAGAGGGACCTGTCTCCTACGGTGAGCACCCTTTGCTTCGTACTCATACACACCCAGGAAGGTAAAGGGTAGAACTCCCCAGTGGAGGGAAGACCCTGTAAAACGGGGATCACGACAGTACCTAAGTCAAAGAGGTTGTCGTGAGGCATGAATGAAATAAGTATAATTTTTTGCATAGTTTGTAGCATAGAGTGTCCGTGAACTTTTGTCATGAGTACAGTAAAACCTTGGTTTGCGAGCATAATTCGTTCCGGAAACGTGCTTGTAATCCAAAACACTTGTATATCAAAGTGAATTTCAAGAACCATTGGCTCAGTTGTGATCATGTGACATTCAGCATCACATAATACTCATATCGCAAGACATCGCTCATTTATCAAGTTAAAATATATTAGAAATATTTGCTCTTCGTGCAGAACACTCACAGAACAAGTTAATCACAATCTAAGGTTTTACTTGTATAGGATGGTGGTTATGAACTAAGCTCTAAGTACAGATTATAAGTGGTTCGAATACCAGCCACTCTACTTATTAGCTGTGTGACCTTAGAAAGTGACCTAACCTTTCTGAGCCTCAGTTTCCTCCCAAGTAAAACGAGGTTTTCAGTTATGCAAAATATCACTGGGTCATTATGGAGATAAAATGAGGTGATATACATAAGATGTTTGGTGTTGTACCTGGCACAGAGTAAGCACTCAGGACTAATTCTGTGGTGGTTGGTGTTACCCTGCTTGTGTTGATTTTGCTTTTGATACATGGTGAACAGATGGGGGGGGG